AATAAAAAGATAAGATAAATATTCTAAAAAGAAAAGATAAATAATAAAAATAAATTAAATTTATTATTAAATTATTTATAAAGTATTTCTGAATTATTGTTAAACTATTTGTAAACTGTTGTTAATTTTGAAACTAATTATTTATTAATGATATTAAAGTATTACTAAAATACTATAGAAATATTGCAAGAATATTATTGAATTATGATTGAATCCATAACTGATATATTAATTATATTATTTGAAATCACATATGATTTAAAGATTAATTGATTAGTTGAAAATTTCAAGTTCAAAAAATTATGAAATTAAAGAAATTTATGTTACTATAGTAATAATAAAATAAAATTAATTAAATTTTAAAGAATTAGATAACTAATAATAAATTTTAAAAATAGATATAGATTTTTATTACCAACTGGTCAACTGAATTTAAGAGAATCTTTTTATTACTATTTACTATAGAATATAATTTTTATAAATTGTATAGTTGATATTATTATATAATTTTAATAATTTATAAATATAGAATTTTCTTGACAAAAATATATAAAATACTTCATAAGTTATATATAAAAAACTCATATTGATTATTAAATAGAAAAAATATAGTATAATAAATAGTAAATATAATAAGTTAAATATATTAATTATGATCAATTTATTATAAATTCTAAATTATAATTATAGATAAAATATAAAGAATTAACTCTAATAATAAGTAAGATAGTTTATTATAAAATTATGAGTTTTAATAAGATAATATGAGAATTATCTTTAGATATTATTAAAATAAAAGTAATTTCATTAAAGAATTATTATATATAATTATTATATTAGATATATTTTTAATATATTATTATAAGAATTCAAAAGTGAAGACTTTTGTATAAAAGTTTATGATATAATTTATTTAGAAAATAATAAAATTCTGAGAATATCTGGAAATTTTTATAATAAAGAGTAATTTAGTAATATTACAGTAACTTTAGCTAAAGATCAAAATTATTATAGATTAGATAAAGATACTTAATACAAAAAGATAAATACAACTTGAAGAATAGTAAAATATAATTTAAATTTAATAATTTTGAATAAATTAATCTTCATTTTTTTTTTAAAAATATTACTCTTTTTATAATTTTTTTGAGAATTGATAAAGAACTTATATAATCTTATTATAATTTATTGATATATATTATGCTAAATAAGCTAGAAAAGTATAATTATTCTTATCTATACTATATCAAAAAGTATAATATAATTTTAATAGAATCTATAAATCAAGAGATATATATTATGATAAAATTGAAAAAAAAATCTTTTTTTTAAATAAATATATATTTTAAAAAATTAATAGATAAAGAATTTTAAAGTCAAATTTGTATCTATTATAAATTTCAAAGAAAAAAATAAATAATAATATAAGAAAATTTTGATGATTGTGAAAGCAAAATTTGGATTCTTGTGCAAAAATATCAAATATCTTGCATTCAAAGATCTGCTAGATAATATAATTTCTCTGATTCTGGATATTTATATAGATATATATAATCAATCTATTTATTTTTATCTATTTAAAGAATTGTAGTAATCTATAATTATACTAATTATTATAATTTCTTTCAATTACACTTTTTTAAAATTTTTATTTTCAAAATTTTGCATAAATTTTGAATTGATATAATCAAAAAATTAGTAATAATTAGTATAATTATTAATTATTATTAATATAATATCTATTAAATTTATTAAAATTACAAATTATAACTATTAACAAATATAAAACTTCATCTAGTATTTCATAAGTCAGATAATAAATATAAAAGATATCAATTACTATTAGTTATTATTATATCAAATAATGAAGAAGAATATGAAATAGAAAATATTCTTAATAAGAGAATTTATTATCACAAATTATAATATCTTGTTAAATAACTTAGCTATTCTCTCTATAATATGATATAAAAATTTCTTGAGAACTATGAAAAAAATTAATATCTTTGAAAAATTATATATTTAAATATAATAAAAATATTGTAATTTAAATAGAAAAATATATAATAATTTTAATTAAATTAATTTAGATCTTTATTTTATATTATCTGTATAATAGATTAGCTTTTGTTTTACTTCTTATAAAGATTAATTTTACTTTAAATACACAAATAATTATTAATATATTTAATATATTAGATTTAACATATTACATAAATAATTACTATATATATCAATATTATTAATTTAAATAATTAATATTTTTAATTTGATTTTCTTTTAATTATTCTTTTATAATTTTACTTATTCTTACTTATTATTATTTATATTATTATTTATCATATTATTAATTATTGGATTATGATTAATTGCTCTTTGAAAATATGATTACTTCTGTTAAATTATATGTAATTTATTTATAGATATTATTATTAATTTAGTTACATTCATATTTATTTCTTTTCTTATAAATAAGTTTTATCTATTCTGTAAATCTGAATACTCTTCAAATAATAAAATTATAAGTTATAAATTGAAAATATTTAGATTATATTTTATCTTGTTTATAATCATTAATAAAATAATCTTATAATATATATTTTTATAAAAATTTTAAAGTAAGTATATTATATATTTATTTAATATTTTCTTGTATAATATCTAATTTATAATTTTTTATGAAATAAACTAGAAGAATTTTGTAAAAAATCAAAATATTCTAAAGAAATTTAGATAAATTTTATATTTAATATTTAATTTTATTATAATATTTTAATTAAAACTTTATTTTTATAGAAAATAATAAATAATATTATTAAAAAGCTTCAAGAATATTATATTTAAACAGATTCTTCAGTTATATTTATATATACTATTATTATAATTTTAGATTCAAGATTTAAATTATAATATATGAAAGATTATTAATAGAAAAGAAAATCAATAATGATACAAAAAGCAAAGTATTAAATTTAAATATTTTTGTTATATTTTTATATTTTATTTATATATATATATATATTTATTTATTTTAATAGGTATTGAAAATTTAAAATGAAAAATATATTTCTAAGAAATTTGAAAATAATAATATTTATCAGATGAAGAACTTGCTCATATTTCTGAAAAAATTCACTATTAAACTAAATTATTTCTTAAATTGAGTGTGCACCAGCTCTTAGTAGTATTTTGAATTGGTGGAAGATAAAACTTTAATATTAAAATTTTTTAAAATAAAAATTAATTAATTATTTTTAATTATAGTGATAATAGCCCATATGGCAAGAGATTATTTGACAATTCCTGGTATTTATTTTTTTATTTTTCATATTTTTTAATTTTAAAATTTATATATTTTTAAAATATACATAAATTTTCTTTTGTAGCAACTAGTGTACCTGTTGAACGTGCATTTTCAAATGCTGCAGATGTTATTACAAAAGATAAAGCAAGACTTACACCTGAAACTATACGTGCAATTATGTGTTGGAAATCTTGGATAATTCAAATATTTTAAATTAGAATTTTATAAAAAATTAATTTTTATAATAATAATTAATTATATAAATAATAATCTATAGATTTTTTGTATAAAAATATTTTATAAATTATATTTAATAATCCGAGTTTATTAAAATATCATTCGTAAACTTGACGCGTAAAAATAAGCGCAATGTCAAGTTTTAGCATACAAAATGCCAATAATAAAAAATATTTCTCAGGTTACAAACTTTTATAATATTTGACATGTTGGTTCACGAGATATTGAGTAAAACATAAAGCGAATTATTATACATAACAATTTATGTTTTGCTCAATATCTTGTGAACCAACATGTCAAATATTTTAAATTTTTGTAGACCTGTAGAATAGAACCTGAGGAATATTTTTTTTATTGGCATTTTGTATGCTAAAACTTGACATTGCACTTATTTTTATGTGCAGAGTTCACGAACGATATTTTATACTAATATCGTATTTACCGAATTACCGGAATTACCGTCAGTAATTACCGATCGGTAATTTTGAGATGTCGGTAATTTACCGAACCGAACCAAAAATCTCGGTAACATCTCGGGCGGTAAATTACCGACATTTACCGAACCGATCGGAACCCTAATAAAAATTCATTCTTTATACAAGGAATAAATATTAGAAATTATCAGATATTAACGAACAATAAAATTTTCAGACATATCTCAAAAATTTATCTGATTAGTTTATTTCTGGAAATATATAAACTTTTTAATTTTTTGGTCTAAAAACATCTTATATTAAAAAGGAGTAGAAACATTGATTTTTATTTGTGGCGAAACTAATTTTATGTACGTATTATTATTATTGAATTAAATTTTAGCAGATACAATGTGGTGGTGCGTATTAACAATATCGATATATTGCTCTTCATTTGTATCGCCAAAGGGAACTAACAGCAATTTTAATTCAATCGCTACTTTATCATCAAAGCGAGGCGTCCAATTCATAAAGCTTTTTCGCAAGGAAGTGATATCAGGGCCAAGTTTCTCTGAGTTAAAAAGAACTTCATCCGATAAAAGACCACGCATTCCCCATGGAATGTAACTGCCATTTATATAAATTACTCTTGAGTAGTCAAATTCTGCGAATTTAGGTTCGATTCCTTCGTAAGTTTTTGATTCGTAAAGATGTTTTACTGCTGTCCTATTGTATTAAAAGAGAGCAATTTGAATATATTCAACTTCTATAATTGTATTCCCTGAAAATATTATCAAAGAAACATACATATAAGCATCATCGTCGGTTGTTAGATGATTATGGCCTTCATCTTTCAAATAACCGATTAAAGAATTACTTAGATGTATTAAGAGGCCTTGATCGGAGTAATTGTGGTTTCTAATACGAATTAAAAGACGCACTAAATCAACGATGAATCGTTTGTCCTGGTAGATGTTGTCAGTTACATAGATTCCGCGCAAGATTGATGGATGATCGACGCTCGAGAAGAGCGCAGAATGAAGCTTAGATTAATAAAGAAAAATGTAATTAAATTTCAAGTCTGTTTTTGTTGATTTATAATTGAAAAATAAAAAAAATGCTTACTGGTACAACTTCATCGTTTCCAGAAGCGAAATACAAGATTTTGACACCAAGTTTCAATGCCGTCTCTGTAGCAGTACGATATTTTTTGGCAATTGCATCGGTGGAAATTTGAAAGGCAAAAAGCTCGCTTGTCGCTTTATCACCGATAACTTTTCCAATAGGATCTCCAATTTCAGCGCGTGACGTCGGTCCTTCCGAAATGCCAGCCAATAGTAATAAAGCAATACGTTGCTTTTGAGGATTTACTAATCCAACTTCAATAAGTCGTGAAAACAATAATACGCTCGTCGGCACACCTTGCGAATGACCAACGATAAAGATCACACTGGCATTCGATACTTTGTCAACGTAATTTCGGTCATTCTGAATTCGCTTCAGAAACATTTCTACTCTTTCTTCCACTAATCCATATCCAGTTAACCGAATCCCTGTAATATTTCCTTCATTTTGTCCGAGATTGAGATAACGTCGAACAGCCGACTCCATTTTGTCGACCAAAATCTGTGATGGAACTGGCAAAATTCCTTGTGCTATTTCGGGGAGCCATCCATGGACACTGAGAATTGTTATTTGTTGTTGTTTATCGAGGAGCCGAGTAGAGTTGGCGATTGTTTCGATTCTATTTAAAAGCGCGGGCATTTGATGTGAGATTGAATCGATGTTTTCGTATTCGGGTAAAATCATTTTATTTTCTTTGTTGTGTTTAAAATATGCGAGCGTTAATTATTTTTGTTACTCTGTTTTGTTTTCAAAAAAATTTGAAAGGTATAAGGAATCTTCATCCTTTATATACTGTAAATACACTGTTCCTGCGCCATTTGAAAGTATATGTATCAAATCAACGCGATCATTGTTGATGCTTTAAATGGAAATTTCTCATACCCATTGAGGTGTCTTTAATTAGAAATAGAATAAATAGAATTCAATTAAAGAATTTGATTGTTTTACCTATTCTTTCTCTTTGATGAATCAGAATATTGTGAATACATTAAAGAGTTACAATGCCACAAAACTTGATAAAAATCAAACGAGTGTAAATAAAGTGGGATGTTCTAACTTTAATTGAACAAAAGCAAAGTAATATATTGTACATGTGTATAATATTAACCTTATCTCACTTTAAAACTTTATACATGTATTTTCTGATCGCATTATGAATTACTACACCATTTCTAATTCTGCCCTCATTATATCATTGGTGAGCCCACGTTTCCGTAAGTATTATACAAAAACTATGTACATAAAGCTCGCTTCACAAAAGAAGTATTCCTTTTGCGATTGTGATAATCCCACCTATGAATCGCCAGGCCGAATCTCAACAAAGAATTGACACATGTTTGATTATTGGAATGACGTGTTGTAACTTTATCATATTAATATTAATATTAACTCGAAGAAATTTATAACGTGTGTAGTTTGTTAATGGAATCAATACATGAATAATAGTAGCCTTTTATGATTGTAAAAGGGTATCCTTAATTAGAAAAAAACAAACTGTCAAAGAAACAAACTATTCTTCTTTGGGAAATATATTTATTGATATCATTATAAATTGAGCGTTTTTATAATCAGGTATTAATAGTAAAAGATTCTTCATGAAAAACATTACGTAATTTATTACAAATAGGGTGGACAAATTTTTCTAATTCCCATATATTTGTAAAATTCACTATCATCTTCAAAAACTCGCAATTGGGTGAGGTTGTGATAATTCATTATTGTTTTGAGTCAACCCATTATATTTGAGATTGGTCAATCTATTGAAAATGTTATAATATTCAAATGGCTGTTTAATAGAAAAATGATTATATTATTATAATGGTAATAAAACTTCTCAGAATTCACAGAACTCTGAAAATTTAATATTATCGATAAAATAATTATGTTTAAAAATCGACGTAAATTTAAAAAAGAAATGCCTATATCTCACTAAGTACATGCAGTTCAGCGCAAAATTTTGCCAGCAATCTTATTATTGTTCTAACTTTATCCTTTTATATAGCATTTAAACAATAATATGTTTATATCACTGATATAGAATATAATTTTGTTATTTTTTAACTAGTATTTATAAGATTTTCTTAATATTTTCAAAGTGATCTGAAAAATTCTTGATTAAAAATCAATGATATTTTTTTCTCAAGCTAAATTCTCTTATTCTAAAAATATTAAATCTAAGAAAAATTTTATAATTGAGTATAAAAAGCAATATTATTATAATTATATTCAAAAATATAATTAGTATGATAACTATATATAGAGATTTATTAAAAGAAAAAAATTAAATTTAATTATTAATTTTGAATTACTTGATCACTAAAATTTTAAAATACTAAATTAAATATAAATATATGTAAAGCAGTAATAAAATTAATAGTAAAATCTTGATTTTATGATAATTAATATTTATTAAATACAAATATAGTCTGGTGTAAAAAGATTAGTACATCAAATAAATATTAATAGATTATTTTTTCAAAATAAAATTTTAATTCTGTTTTATTTAATTAAGTTATTAGATATT